GATCTTTAATATTAAGATCACATTTCTATTTTGAATTTATTGTGGCATAAGACATAAGATGTTGATCAAACTTAATTTCTCCCAGACTGCTTTCCAGTTTTCCCAGCAGTTTTTATTAAGTGGGGGTTCTTTCTAAAGTAATTTATGTTTTGGGGTTTACAAACCGTGGGTTATTGAATCCTATTATTTCTTGTTCTCCCTTGTTTAGTATGTTTCATTGATCTACTTCTCTATTTTTTTCTTTTAACCAATACCAAACGGTTTGGATGACTACAGCTTTATAGTATAGTTTGCAGTCTGGAAGACCTCATCACTCTTCTTTCCTATCTTTTTTTCATTATTTTCCCTTAGTATTCTAGATCTTTTATTTCTCTAAGTAAAATTTTTTTATTATTTTATCAAATTATGTAAAGCATCCTTTTGATAGTTTGATTGGTACAGAATTAAAATTATAAATTAACTGTTGCAGTGTTTTCATTTTTGTCATACTGGCACAGTCCACCTGTGAGCACTGAATATTGTTCCAGTTTATGTAACTTGTTCTTTATGTAAGGAGCTATTTGTAATTGAAACTATACATGTTTTTTGTGTGTTTTGTTGTTCAGTCGTTTTTTAGTCATGGCCAACTCTTCATGACCCCAATTTAGGGTTTTCTCGGCAAGGAAACATGCTCTTCTCCAGCTCATTTTCCAGATGAGGAACTGAGGCAAACAGGGTGAAGTGACTTGCTCAGGTCACGTAGAAGAGGAGTCTTCCAACTCCAGGCCCAGCACTCTATCTATTGTGCCACCTAGCTGTCTCTGTGTTTTGGTATATTGATCCCCATATATTTTATATACTTTTTAGTTATTTTTGACAGGATTTCTCTTTCTATTATCATTTCTTGGATTTTGTTGTTATTATATAGCAATGCAGTTGATTTTTGTGGGTTTATTTTGTAGCCTGTGATTTTACTAAAGCTATTATTTTTTCAATTAGTATCTGTAAGGACACAAGATTTTTAGGAAGGGCAGATTATCCTGTCAACTACGCCAATTATAAGGCCAAATGTAAGGGGGCTGATCTGTTCTGTCCTGATATGCCAAATGTAGGGATGTAGAACCTCCAAGACAAAACTGAGATACTGAAGAAAGAGGAGCCCATTGCCACCTCAGTTGTGTGTATATATGTGTTATTGTGTACATGTATATGCCTGCATATATGTATACGTACATGCATACACACATAGTTACATGTATGTGCATATATGTATACATGTATGTATATGTATATATGTGTGTAGATAGATTACGGTTAATTAGGTTAATTGCTTAAAAGAGTTTACTCATGAGGCCAGTCTTCCTGGGTGGCAGCAGGACAAAATGGTGTAATGGATCCCTACACCAACCCTAGGCCAACTCCGTTATTATATAGAAAAAGAACAAGGAAAGCACATGAACACAGGGTCACATGCAATCTTCCTATGGGATAGTTGGAGTTTCTTTTTTCATTTACTCAAGGTAGTTTACATTCTTCTGTGAAACCCGAGGGCAGGGTCTGAGGCTCTGGCTACCACTATATAGTATCTTTGTTAATTCCATAGGATTTTCTAACTAAACTATCATATAATCAGTAACAGGGATGTTTTATCTCATATATTTATGCCTTTAATGTCTTTCTCTTGTTTTATTACAAGTTTTATTTCCAGAATTATATCAAGTAACAATGTGGAGACTGGACATCCTTGCTTTACTCTTATCTTTCCTGGGAAAGCTTCTAGTGTATGCTCACTGCATGTGATGCTTACTTTTGTTTTAGACTTTAAAAAAAATGATTTTAAAAAACAGTCCCTCTATGTCTATAGTTTATAGGGGGGGGGTTTGGCCTTTTTTGGGGGGGGGTGAGGCAACTGGGGTTAAGTGACTTGCCCAGGGTCACACAGCTAGTAAGTATCAAGTGTCTGAAGCCATATTTGAACTCAGGTCCTCCTGACTCCAAGGCTGGAGTTCTATCCACTGTGCCATTCAGCTGCCCCCCTGGTTTATAGGGTTTTAAGCATAAATACGTATTATATTTTGTCAAAGGTCTTTCTCACACATATTAAGATAATGTGATTTAGGATGTTTTTATTTTTAATGTGATCAAATATGTTGATTGTTTTCCTAATGTTGAACCACCCATGATTCTTTGATATAAATCCAACTTGGTCATGGTGAATGATTTCTTGGAATAATTACTATATTCTGATTGGTATGATTTTATTTAAACTTTTTGAATTAATATTCATTAATGATATTGATCTATAGTTCTTCATCTTTGTTTTATCTTTCACTGGTTTAGGTATTAGGATGATATTAGTCTTGCAAAAAAGGAGTATGGTAGAGTGCTTCTTTTTTAATTTTTGAGAATAATTTGTGTAGTAATTATACTGATTATTCTTTAAAAGTTTGATAGATTTCTTTTGTAAGTTCATTAGGACAAGGATTATTTTCCTTGACAATTCCTTTAGAATTAGTTTAATTTCCTTTTTGACATGGAATTATTTAAATTTAGTTTTCTGTTATTTGGGGTATTTTGTATCTTTGAAGGTAATTCTTTCTTTTGTATTTTCAGTTTTGTTAGCATACCACTATGCATGGTAGCTTCTGATTCTATTTCTTCTGGTTTTGTTATGATTTTGTTTGTTATTTTATTTGTTTTTCTGCCCAATTTAAAAAAATCAGGTTGGCTATTTTTTTCAGTTTTGTTAGTCTTTTTTTAAAAATGGCTTTTAACTTTGTTGATCATTTCCATAGTCTTTCTGTTTTCCAATTTATCCATTTCTCGTCTAATTTTTTTTCTCTTTTGTGCTTATTTTGCATCTGTTTATTTGTTGGATTTCTAATTTTAAAATTGCATCTTCAGTTCATTAATCCTCTTTTTCCATTTGGTTGATGTTTGTTTTTAGGGATATCATTTCCCCTGAGAATTGCTTTACTTGCTCCCTGAAATACTGGTGTGTTGTTTCATCATTATTATTTTCTTTCATATAGTTTTAAATTGTGTGTGTGATTTATTCTTTGCCCCATTCATTATTTAGGATTTTATTAAGTCTTCTTTTGGGTCTAGGTTTTTTTGTTTGTGCTCTCTGAATTATTATTTTCATTGCATTATGATCTGCAATGGATGTGTTTATATTTCTTCATTTTTACATTTTTTTTTTTTGCAACATACATGTACCCTAATAAGTGGTCAGTTTTTGTAAAAGTTCCATGTGGTGTTGAGAAATATGTGTATTCATTCAGTACTCCCACTTTGAAGATGCCATAAATCTTTCAGCTCTAATTTTCTCAGCAGTTGGCCCAATCCTACATTTTGCCTTTTGTTTAACTTCCTGTTATTATTGCTGTTCAGTCATTCAGTCATGTCTGACTCTTTGTAGCCCCATGGGCCATAGCACACCAATACTGTCCATAAGGTCTTCTTGGCAAAGATACTGGGGCTGGTTTGCCATTTCCTTCTCCAGTGGATTAAGGCAAACAGAGGTTAAGTAACTTACCAAGGGTCACACAGCTAGTGACTGAGACCAGATTTAAACTCAGGTCTTCTTGACTCTAGGCCCAGCACTCTATCCACTGACCCAACTACCTTCCTTGCATCTATCTTGTTATAAAACTAGAAGAAGGAAATTAAAGTCTCCTACTATTATTGTATTACTCTATATGCCTTCTTATTATTCATTAATTTTTGCTTCATGAATTTAGATGCTAAGCCATTTGGCACATATATGTTTAATATTGATATTGGTGTATTGTTCCAGGTTCCTTTCAGTATAATGCAGTTTCCTTGTTTATCTCTTTTATGTTTAATTTTGGTTTGAAAGCATGATTGTAACTTGTGCTTTTTTTTTTTTTTTACTCCTTTAATAAATAGCAAATTTTGTTCTGGCCCCTCATTTTTATTGCATGCATATCTTTACTTTTTAGGTATGTTTCTTAAAAACAACAGCTTATGAGATTTTGTTTTTTCATATGACCCGTCACTCTCATTTTATTCAATTGTTTAATCCATTCACACTTAAAGTCATGAGAGTTATGTTTATTGTCTCTTTTTTCTGAAAAAGAATTTTTTTTGGTTCCTTTCTCTTTAAAGATAGTAGTTTGCCTCTTTGGTTATTCTTGCCTAATCTACTTTATTCTACCTTATACCCCTAGGCTCCATTCCCCTTACTCTCAAGCCCTGTCTCCCCTGTTTGTTACCCTTTTCCATAGTTTTGCAGTTTTAATTTATTATTTCCCTTTTCTTTCTCCCTGTTACCTAGTTTCCTAATTCTTCTTCTCTTTTTTTTCCTCTCAGTTAAGTAAGGTAAAGTCTCCCTTTTTCTACCACCTTTGACTTCTTTTATTAGCTTTTTCAAATTTTCTGCTTTTTTTTTCTAAAAATGATTATTTTCTCTTATCTTCATCAATTCTCCCCCCTTTCTATCTATTCTAAACTTATATTTTTTAATTCGTTGTCCTTACCATCTATTTCTCCTTTAATCTCTTCTCTGCTCCTCATGGAATTAAAGCTTTCAAGAAACCTATTTTACTTCTGCCTCTAAACAATTTCTTTGTTATTTTCTTCTAGATCTTGCCCCCCCCTTTTGTGTGTGTGTGTGTGTGTGTTTCAGTCTTAGAAGTATCAACTGATATAGAAGATAGATATTATTTACATGTTGCTTCATGGTAGAAATTTTCCTTGAGGAGCAGAAGGAAAAATATCACATACACACACAAATGAGAGATGTATATTTGTTTATAGCTATTGATGGAATTCATTTTGCTTGATTATGCATATTTGTTACAACAATTATTATTATTTTAATGGGGTAGAAATGAGATAGAAAATTGATTATATTATTTTATTAAATAGAGAGAGGTGAGAGAGATGTGTAATATTGCATGCACTTTCATTTGAGGTCACTGTACTGGTAGTTTTACTTAACTTTTTGTTACAAGAGATTTCTCACAAAGTAAGAATAATCTGCAAATCTTAGCAAAATCATAAGAAAACATCAAAAAAACTTTAAAAAACAGAGTTAAGGGAGCAGAAATATATATTATTTATAGATCACAAATATTAAACACACTCTTCTCTTACCACCTTCTACTTAGTTGTTAAGTGGATGAATGGGGTAAAGAGAAGAAAAAGTACAAGAGGAAAGGGTGAGGGGAAATATATAATTAGTTGAAATCCACACGTGACTTCTCAGAGTCAAGTTCAACTGACCTGACAGAGTAATAACTTCAATTCTAGTGTCCCCTAAAAAGGGACACCCTCACCCCAAGATCACTTCCATAGCATCCCTGTTGGAGTCACAGAGTTTGTGAATTGGAAGGAACCCTAGCAGCCATCTTGTCAAAAACATACCTAAAAAGAATTTCCACTGTATCTAACACATTATGATCCAGCTTTTACTTAACAGTCTCCAAAGAGGGAATCTATCACTCCTAAGGCAGCTTATTTCACTTTTGGACAGCTCTAATTCTTAGGGAGTTTTCTTCCTGATACTGTACCCAAATTTGCCTCTTGGCAGCTTCCACCCACTTCTCCTGCTTCTGCCTTCTGAGAGAGCCAAAGAGAAGGCTAGTCTCTCTTGAACATGAGAGGTCTTGAAGTACTTAAGGACAGTTGTCATGTCCCTCTTGACTCTTTTCTTCTTCAGGCTTATCATGTCTCTATCTCCTCCCTACTCCCACCCAACCCCAACTGATCTTCTGAGCTCCAGCCCTACATTTCCCAGTTCCTTCAAGAGTCATCCTGCTCTTGTTACACGTCAAGTGGCTGCTAACCAAAACATCATGACATTTGTGCATGAATACCCACTCCCCTTCAGATGTATTCCCAATACACTGAAATTCCAAGCCAATTATTCCTTGTTCCCCACCTCCCTCCTCCTCAACGAAAATACACATACCGGACAAACCTCTTAAAAATGAAGCCATGTTTATAGCTCTTAGAGACTATAAAATGCACATGTTTGGGTATCTTTATAAATTTGAAACAGCCAAATTGATATGGGGCAGAGAAGGGTCAAATTTTTTTTGGTTGATTTTTCTGGTTTGGGGGTGTGTTGGAGGTTTTGATTTTTTTTTTTTTAAACTACGAGTTGAAACTCAGTTCACTGCAGCTTTTAGCCTGGAATCAAGTACTTAGAGATGCACTGCACATACCTGGAAACAGGCATATATCATGGAGACGTTGACATAACCCCAGGGAAAACAATGCAAAATGGGCTATTGTAGGGAGGTATTTAAACAACCCAAATTTTACAATGAGCTTTTTCCAAGGCTGACATTTTGAACTTGGACATAACGAGCTGTGTGGTGTGGGTTTTTTTTGTTTTGTTTTGTTTTTTAAGAGGACAAAAGACGGGTCTGGAAATCCAACCTCTCTACTTTCCCTTTTGATTGTAGTACCTGAATGCCTCTGTGATGAGCTGGGTTTGCACATGAAGGGATAACTCGGCAGTTGACACTCCTGAAGTGCTTTCAAGCTTTGTGGGACAATTTGTCAGTAAAGCCCGTCAGCTTTAGGGAAAACAGTCACATGGTAGAATTGACTCTTCTATAAAGAAACAGCCAAAATAGGCCAAAAATGCTGAATACAGTATATACAGCATAAAATCACATTCCAGAATGAAGTCTCTGATCAGTTTGTTAGTTTTAAAATATCCAGCCCACCTCTCCTCCCTCTCCCCACCCCCCAATATGTTGATTTTATAGAAGACACAGAAGACAAAGTTGTGGTTGAAGTAGCAAAGGATGTAGCCAGGCTTCCTACTTAGTCCTTTGCTTATTTGTCTGTCTTCGTGGTGCTGCCACCTAGAGAGAAAGGGGAAACGTGAGTTGGGTCCTAGAAGACTGATTTCCTTCGACCGCCAAGAGCTCAGTCCTGATTCTGAATCTTAGCTTCCTTTTCAGAAAGCACTTTCCTTTCTTCCTCATGAGTTCGACACATGGCTCACAATTTTTCTCTCCTTCCCAGCTCCTGCCCTCATACTAGGGTTCTTCAACATACATATTGATTCTCCCTCAAAAACTCTAACCGCTCAATTCCTCAAGTTATCACTTCCCACGAGCTCCTCATCTAACCCACCATTGCCGCACACAACGATGTTCATACTTTTGATCTTGCCATTATCCACAAATGCACCACCTCCAGGTTTAAGAATTCTGAAATCACCTTATCCAACCATAATCTATTGGCTTTTCACCTCTCCCTCTGCCTTCCCTTCCAAAAACCTACTCTTCATCCAAGACCTCCAATCCCTTGACCCCTCAGTTCTCTCCCAAGCTATCTCCCTTGCACTAGCCACTCTCTCTTCTTCTCCTCATCTTGACTCCTTGGTGAACCAATTCAATTCTACTGTCCTACTCTCTTGAATCCCTAGCCCCCTTATCCTATCACTGATTATGCCCGGTCAAGCCTCAGCCTTGGATCATTCCCACTACCCGTCACCTTGCATTTTCCTACACGTGCACTGCTGAACGAAGGTAGGAAAAATAATCTGACTGTTCTGAATGGGTCTACTACAGATTTAGGTGATGCAATCTCAATTGGGCCCTCCCTATTGCTAGGCAATCCTACTATACCTCCCTTATCAACTCTTTTCACAGTGGCTTTTACAAATCTTTTCATCCCTCCTCAAACCTCCTATGGCTTCCCAATTCCCACCCTCAGCTGAGAACCCTGCCTCATATTTCACAGAAAAATTGAGGCCATTTGTATGAATTTCTTTCTTTCTCATCTCCTGTTACTCAGGTGCCTTCTGCCACTACCTCCTTCTTTGCCCCGGTTTCACATGATGAGATGACCTTACTCCTTACCAAGGCTAGCCCCTCACCTTGTTCAAGTGATCCCATTCCATTCTATCTCCTCTAATAGATTGTCCCCTCTGTCATTCACTTTCTTTCATTTATTTCCAATTTCTCCCTGCCTACAAACATGCCCATGTTTTCCCTACCCTGAAAAAACTCTCATCTGATCCTTCCATCCCTATCATCCTACATCTTTTCTGCCCTTCAAAGCTAAATTCCTTGAAAAGGCCTTCTCTTTCACCTTCTCTCCTCTTACTCTATTATTAACCTTTTTCAATTTGGCTTCTGACTTCATCATTCCACCAAAACTGCTGAAAACTTCCACCAAAAGTTACTAATGATCTTTTACTTGCCAAATCAAATGGTCTCAAATTTTCTCAATCCTATTCTCCTTGACATCTCTGCAGCATTTAACACTATTGATCACTCTCACCTCCTTGACACTCTTTTCTCTCTAGGTTTTTGGGACACCACTTTCTCCTGGTTCTCCTCCTACCTATTTCACTGCTCCTTCTTTTTCTGCTTTGCTGGACCTTCTTCCAGATCATGCCCTTTATTCATACATGTCCCTCAGGGTTTTGTCCTGTGCACTCTTCTCTTCTCCCTCTATATTACTTCACTTGGTGCTGTCATCTGCTCCCATGGATTTCATTACCATCTCTATGTTAATGGTTCTCAAATCTACTTTCCTGCCCCAATCTCTCTGCTGACCTCCAATCTTGCATCTCCAACTGCCTTTTGGATATCTTGGACTGGATGTCCAGTAGACATCTTAAACTCAGTATGTCCAAAATGAAACTTAGTATCTTTTTCCTTGAACCCTCCCTACCTACTACCTTCCCTATTACTGTAGAGGGCAACACTATCCTCCCAGGCTCCCAACCTAGGAGTCATCCTGGACCCCTTACTATCTCTCATCTTCCATACTGACTCTGTTGCCAAGGCCTGTCGATTTCATCTTTGAATACACCTACTACTCTCCTCTGATTGTCAGCCCTCGACTACAGGCCCTCATAACCTTGCATTTTGAATACTGCAACAGCCTTCTGGTGGGTTCTCCCCACTCTAATCTATACTCCACTCAGCCACTAAAGTGACTTCCCTAAAGCACAGGTCTGATCATATTACCCCCTACTCAGTAAATTCCAGAAGCTTCCTCTTGGTTCCAGGAGCAAATACAAAATGCTCTGCTTGGCATTCAAAGTCCCCTCCTACATTTCCAATCTTCTTATACCGCATCCTCATTTCTCAACATGTACTCTTCAATCCAATGATACTTGTTCCACGAATAAAATACTCTATCTATTGGCCCTGAATATTTTTGCTGGCTGTTTCCCATGCCTGGCATCCTCTCCCTTCTCCACTCCTACTACTGATCACCCTGGCTTTTTTTTAAGTCCCAACTAAAATCTCACCTTCTACCGAAAGCCTTCCCCAACTCTTCTTAATTCCAGTGCCTTACCTCTTTAATTACTTGTTTTTCCTATATATAGCTTGATTTGTATACATTTGTTTGCGTGTTGTGTCCCCAATTAGATTGTAAGTTCCTTGAGGGCAGGGACTGTCTTTTGCCTCTTTTTGTATCCCCAGCACTTAGCACAATACCTGGCAATAGTAGGTGTTTAATAAATGCTTATTGGTTGATTGATGCTCACAGCAAACCTGGGAGTTAGATGCTATTATTATACCCATTTCACATTTGAAGAAACTGAGGCAAATGCCTGGAGGCACACAGCTAGTAATATCTGAGGCTGGATTTGAACTCTGGTCTTCCTGATTCCAGGTCCAGCACTCTATCGACTGCACCACCTAGCCACCTCATTGGGTTAATTTCCATCCAGTAAGAAAAAGAAATTCAGAACAAAAGTATTGTTTATCCATACTTAGGGAAACCATTGGCCATTTGGGAAAATCTTAAATGAGAGAAATAGATAGAATTAAATTACTAGATTGCAATTGGCTTCTTATTCAGGATGAAGTTAACATAATGAGACTATTCTCATTACTATTTTGGAACTCCCACCTGGTAGAAAACAAACACACTTTACAAGTTGGAAATTGACATTTTTCACTGTGATCAATTCAGGTATGCTAGTTTCAAAGGCTTCTGTATGCAACGGATTTGTGACTTTTTAGCCACCAGATTATTTACACAATTATTTTGTGATATTTGTTTGCACTTCTGTATAGACCCATAATTCCTTTGTAAACCTGTTATCTGTTCTTTCTTTTCTCAAAGAAGTATGCACTACATATATACCTCACTTAGCATTGTCCCTCAGTTTTGCGAAAACCTGATATTGCTTGTGAGGAATAGGGCCTTTCCTAGAAACAATGTTACTGGTGTTATAAATGGTCAAGTGGAACACCTTCCCTTCCGTAGTAGTGAATTCAATTTCACATCCCTCGTGCCCTTGACTTTCTTTTGTTGTGTCCTGTTATTCTCCAACTAATGTTAGAGGAAATCGAGAAAGTCTACCACAAATGTATTCAATCTAACCTCAGCTGAGTTCTCAATGTTGCTTCAAATTCTTTTACTGGCTTCCCAAAGTGGATGTCCAAATCTTTTACTATTTCCTCAAGTCTCCAACTCTAATTCTCCCCATCATCATCTCACTCAGTAAATCAATCCATAAACATTTATTAAGTACTTGTTATGTTCTAGTTGTTATTTAGTCATTTTCAGTCGTGTCCAACTCTTTGTGACCCCTTTTGGGTTTTTCTTGGCAAAGACACTCAAGTGGTTGGCCATTTCATTCTCCAGCTCATTTTACAGATGAGGAAACTAAGACAAACAGGGTTAAGTGACTTGCCCAGGATCACACAGCTAGTAAGTGTCTAAGGCCAGTTTTGAACTAGGGAAGATGAAACTTTCTGATTCTAAGCCCAGCACTCTATCCACTGCACCACCTAGTTGCCCTTATACTCTCTTAGCTTCAATCATTTCATCTTTTCTGGCTCCTTTCTCTCTGCCTAAAAAAAAAAAAAGTGCAGGACTCCCCCATCCTTATCTTCCCTGGACCCTGGTGCCTCCTAAAATGTCATCTTGTAAGTCTTTTTTAAGCTTATTAAAAAAAAGAGCTTTGTCCCCCTGCTTCCATTGCCTCACCACCCACTCACCCCTCGACTCCCTACAAATCTGGCTTGTATCTCTATTCACTACTCCAAGGACCACGGTCACCACTGACCTCCTAATTGCCCAATTAGGCTTTCTCTCAATTCTTCGTTTCCATTAACATTTCTGCTATGCTTCATACTGTTCAGTTCTTGATTCTCCCCTTGGCTGCATCATCCGAGTCTCTCATGGTTTTCCTCATTTCTCAGGACATCCATTATTGTTGTACTATCTAGGCATGATGGATACAGCACTGGGCCTGGAGTTAGGAAGACCTGAGTTCAAATCTAGATTTTGATTCTAGTTGTGTGACCATCCTAAGTCATTTAACCTGTCTGCATCAGTTTCCTCAACTGCAGGATGGAGATAATAATAGAATCTACTTCATAGGATTGTAGTGAAGATCAAACAAGATAGTATTTGTAAAGTGCTTAGCATAATGCCTGGCACAAAGTAGGTGTTTAATAAATGCTTGTTCCCTTCCCTTCTTTTATGGTTTACTAAGTATAGGCATTCCCTAAGGCTCTGCCCTGAGCCCTTTTACCTGTGCTAAACTTCCTCCCTTAGCAATCTCACCTACCAAAGATCTGATTATCTTCTCTAAGCAGATGATCTTCCAAATCTCTATCCCCAGTTCAGACTGGTCCTCTGAGCTCCCATCATACACTTACAACTGGCCACTACAGATCATTGGATACAGGGTCAGCACCTGGTCTCTCTGTGTCTCTTTTTCTCTCTCCTCCCTCCCTCTCCTCTACTCCCCTCCCCTCTCCCAAACATATCTCCAAGTGAACTTGTTCCTTTCAATTTCCTTATCTCTAATGAATGCACCATCAACTCTTCAGTCACCCAAGTTTAAGCATTTGGGGGCCTCTAATTTTTCCCTCTT